GCAGCTGTACCCTGTTCAGTAGGGTTCAGCAGTGAGTCAGAATGGGCTCGATGACTGTGAGTTTGAGTGAGAAAATCTGACTACTGTTAAAACCTGACTTGTCACTTTGGCCACTTTTCTCTGTGGTCAATGATGGCCCACCAGAATACTCATGTTCTGATGCCTTTGTGTATCATTAACATATCTCCAATTCAATGTTTCATTATTGGAAACTTTCACAGGGCTGATTTTAGTTATACTTGAAACTATGAAAGTATTAAAATCCCCCTTGTTCTCCAGCTCTATTTTTTCTGACTCAATTATAATTGTTAACTCATCTTCTCTTAAAAAAAGAAAAGAAAAGAGATAAGTCAAGATTCATTATTAAATAAAAATCTTGATAATGTCCCTAATAGTCTTTGAACAATATTCTAGAAAATTCTACTCTACCTCTTTCTTTATTATTACTTTTTAAAATAGTTACTTGTTTTCTTTTTCTACCTTTTTGTCTTGCTGTTTTTGAGGGTGTATCGTATATCAACTCAACAATTTCTATGTGTACAATTCTGTGACGTTGATGACCTTCTTCAAGTAATGTAAACACTCTCCTCCTCCTTCTCTGAACTGTTCCTCCCCTGTTAACATAAACTCAAGTCTCCTGTCTCATTTGGGGGCTGCTCTTTGTTTTAAAAGATTTCAAGGGTTAATTTTGGCTGAAGATCTAAAGATCATATCAGAGCAATAGTTTGAGGAATTCATCTAGGTTCCATGTTCCAAAAATTCTAGATTGCATGAGAAAATTTCTGCTCTGTTTCCTGATCACTTTCATTGGGGAATGCATTCATTCACTCATTCATAAAAACATTTTTTTAAGTTTTACTAAGTATCATTTTACGAATGTCTGTTGATTTGGAGTGATCGTGCAGAGTCCCCAGGTAGATTAAGCCATTGGTGAATCTCTTCTGACCATGAATCAGGGATGTGAATAGCCTTGCTAGCAGTCGAGTGCATTGAAAATGAATTAATGCAGATGTAGTTAGGTTAAACATTAACACCTTATCATTTGTTCTCCCTTTTGACCCATTTTGTAATTTGTCCTAGTTTTTATTATTTTCTGTTTTCTTTTCAATAGAGGTTTTTCTGTAGTTAATTTTGTTACTGTTGTTGGGTTGGGGGTTGTATGTTTTTCTTTATACAAAATTCAAGATAGGTAAAGCTACAGAGCCAGTAACTGGATCAATAGTTTCTTAGGGCTGTGACAGGGAGTTTGGTGGAAATGGGGAGCTAATAACAGCAAGTACAAGAATGAAGAAATTGTTCTAAAAATGATTGGTGGTGATGATGTCACAACTTTTTTTAATATCTTAAAATCACTAAATTGTATTTTATCTGATTATATATCAATGAAACTGCTAATTTTGTTAAGCATTTATTGATTGCCTATATTTTTGCAAAATGCTGCATGCTGCTGATTTCACAAGTCACATATTCTGCCCTCAAAGCACAAATCATCTATCACTGGATTTGTTTGCTTCTGGCTGTGACATATTTGAAAATTTCACACTTACACTTCCATGAAAAATAAGTAGAAAAGCTATACAAAGTTAAAAGTACAAAGCATTTTTGAGAGAAGCGTGGTGGTACTCTGTTAGCTCCTTAAAGTACTTCCAGTGGCGGGCCCACAATACTTCCAGTAAAGCTGGAAGGTTCAAGATTTTAAAAAGGAAAGAAGCCTACTGTGCTGATTACAGCATTTTCAAATGCTATTCTCCTTGTGATTTTGAAGAACAAAGTCTGAAAGTCTATGGAACTGAGCAGAAAATTCCAGCTCAGAGGTTGAAAGCTGAGTAGTGTATTTGGCAGTCTCACAGGGTTAACCAAAACCGACCCAAACCCACTGCCATAGAAGCTATTCCAACTCCTAAGAACTCTATAGGTCCGAGCAGAATTGCCCCATTAGTTTCCAAAGCTAGGAATCATTGCAGAGGCAGGCTGCCACTTCGTTCTCCCCAGGAGTGGGTCACACTGCCAACGTTTCAATTACCAGCCAAGCTTCTATTCACTGAGCCTGCTTCTCATTACTTCAGGAGTCTAAACTTTTGAGACAAGTCTGAAAAAAAAAAAAAAGAGGAGATACAAGATAGGAATCCTCTACTCTTAGTTGCTGTTATTGTTGTTGTTGTTGTTGTTAGGCACCATTGAGTCAGTTCTGACCCGTAGCAACCCTACGCACAACAGAATGAAATGTGGCCCAGTCTTGTGCCATCCTCACAATGGTTCCTATGCGTGAGCCTATCATTGTGTCAGTCCATCTGTGTCAGTCCATCTCATGGAGGGACTTCTTTTTTGCTGCCCTTCGACTTTACAAAACAAGATGTCCTTCTCCAGGAACTGGTCTCTCCTGACAACATGTCCAATGCATGTAAGAGGAAGTTTCAACATCGTTGGCTGGAAGGAGCACCCTGGCCATGCATCTTCCAAGACAGATCAGTGTGTCCTGTGAGCAGTCCACAGTACTTTGAATATTCTCCTCCAGCACCACAATTCAGTGGCACCAATTCGTCTTCATTCTTCTTCATTCCATGTCCAACTTCCACATGCATATGAGACAATTGAGCATACCATATCAGGTACACCTTGGTCCTCAGAGTAACCTACTTGCTTTCCAATACTCTAAGGAGGTCTTGTACAACAGATCCACCTAACGCAAATCATCGTTTGATCTCTTGACTGCTGCTTCCATGAGCATTGATTGTGGATTCAAGCAAGACAAAATCCTTGACAACTTCAACCTTCGATTAGTCTACTTGTGTGGATTTTGGCCTTCTTTACACTGAATTGTAATCCACACCGAAGGCAGCAATTCTTGATGTTCATCAGCAAGTTCTTCAGATCCTCCTCACTGTCAGCAAGCAAGGTTGTGTCATCTGCACATCACAGGGTTATTTATAAGCCTTCCTCCAACCTTGACACTGCATTCATTTTTAATACTTTTAATAATTTTATTGACATATAATTCCCATAGCATACCCTTCCATAGATGGGCCATATTAAAAAAGAGTTGTAAAGTCATCACTACAATTAGTTCTAAATCATTTTCTTCCTTCTTATGTTCATTATTAGCTTCCCATTACCCTACCTCCTCCCTCCTCCTGAATCCCCAATAAGCCATTAATCCAGTTACTGTGCTATAGATTACCTATCCTGGATTTCACATACTGGAAAACATAACCCCCTCCCCCCAAAAAAAACCAACAAGAATAACAAAATAAAGCTGAGGGGAAAAAACCTCAATTGGGAAAAAAAAAAGCCAAAATTATTAAAAAGCAGCACAAAGTTAAAGTGGATCAAATGAGAGGTCAAATGATCAGGTATTACATTTTAATCTAATTACATGTGCCAGAATTGAGTTTACAATACTCTCTGACTGATAGCAAGGCTATTCGCCTCCCTCAACTAGGGTCGAAGAGGCTCCCTCAGAGGAGTAATCCATGCAGGAATGCTGCCCATGGATTTTGAACTCCCACTGTTATCCATAGCCTTCTGCAAACTGGGTGCTCATCAGTTAAACACTGATACCATAATTAATGAGAGAATTTTCAAGAATACTCTAAAATTAGCATAAATCACACATTTAAGAAGGGTTTTAAGTTTCAGCAGGAACATAACCCATTGTCATTGAGTCCGTTTTAGCTCACAGCAACCCTACAGAGCAAGGAGAACTGCCCCATGGGACTCTGCCTTTACGAAAGCGGGCTGCCACAGACTCCCCCTGCAGACTCCCTGGTGGGAGAGCAGTTGAGCATTTTCACTATGACGCCACCAGGGTTCCTGTGAACACCAGGCAGGACACGTGCAAACAAGAAAAAATATCACAACTGGTATGTCAGAGTAGATCTGCTGAAAACAGACTAAATAAATTAATAAAATCTTGAAAACAAGAGGAAATAATGCATGACTTCCAAAAGAAAAACAAAACAATGATATTAAAGGCAGTGTAGTAACATCTTCAAAAGACTTAAAGAATATAACTGCTAACCTACAATGGGGTACCCCCCCCAAAACAGAACTTTTTTCCAAAGCTATATATTTAATTTTTTTAAATAACCTTATCACCTGCAAAATACTCTCCATTACACTTAAAACATTTGTCAAATCTGCAATTCCATTCTTGAAAACATTTTTCAAACTCATTTGCTTGGATAGCTGACAGCACCTCCTTCGTTTTTTCCTTCAGTTCTTCTATGTCTTCAAATTGCTGTCCTTTCATGTCCCTCTTCATTCAGAGAAGCAAAAAGAAGTCACGCGAAGTGAGGTCAGATGAATAAGGTGTGTGGGGCAAGAGAGGCATGCTGGTTTTGGCCAAAAGCTGGTGCACTGAGATTGTCACGTGAGCAGGTGCATTGTTGTGGTGGCAAAACCAGTCCCCCGTCTGCCACAAATCAGTCCCTTTGCATCACACACTGTTATGCAATCTTTTCAGAACCTCTAAATAGAAAGCTTGATTAACAGTCTGACCTGATGCTATGAACTCCAAATGCTCTATCCCCCTCACATCAGCAGAGCTTTTTCTATAGGTTTTTAGGGGGTTACCCTCTCATATAACACCTCACTTAGGAAGAATATTCTTCAAAAATGAAGGTTAAAATAGAATTTGTTCTTGTCCTTGTGCGTCATTCAGTCAGTGCTGACTCCTAGTGATGCTACAGAACAGACTAGAACTGTCCCCATTGGGCTTTCTCAGCTGTAATCTTCACAGGAACAGATTTCCAGGGTTTGAACCACCAACCTTTTGGTTAGCTAACGATTGCTTAACCATTAGGCCACCAAGGCTTCTAAATAGAGAATACTGAGGGCTTAATTCCAGGTACTCCTGAAACTTGGACAGGATCATGCTTGTCTTTCAGGAAGAGCGGTCATGATCTGGTTATACAGTGAGCAGGCAGTTATTCATCTTCATTCATTCTCTTCCACATCGTTCTCTCATCTTTAAGGTATACGCTACAACCAGGGCCACTCACTCTGACAATGCATCTCTCCAACAAGCCACTTTAAATCTTCTCCGCATCTGGCGACAGGGTTTCCAATCAGAGAATATCCCTCTTTACAAGTGTAGACTATGTTTTTCCCAACAGGAAACATGGCACCTTCATCCTAAGCAAAATAGAGTATAGAGAAGGGTAGATTTGTTGATTTTGCATTAAGAAGTTATTTCTTTAGGAAATATACCTTTTTTAATCATCAAATAGCCTACATTCAAAAAAATTTATTTAGAAAATTGTCTGTGAAACGTTTTCCCCTGTATAGTCTTAATCAATAACACCATAAATGAAATAAAAATATTAATGGCACTATTCTATAATGTATTGATTGCTTTCAAAATTACATCTGTTACTGAAGTTATTTTAATCAGAATTACCCAAACATTTTCTTTCCCTTATATTTTCAGGGAAAATAGCATTTATTAGCTTCAGGGAACATATTAACAATTATGAAAGGTTCATTGGAAATAAACAACAATAACAAAGTTGCCATTAATTCTAACTCATGGGAACCCAGTATGTGTCAAAGAAGAACTTTGCTCCAAAGGCTTTGCAAGGGTTAATTTTTCAGGATCATGCAACCAGGATCTGTGACTAAACTTGAACTACCAGCCTTTCAACTAGCAACCAAGTGCATTAATTGCACCACCTAGTACCTGAACAGTCAGGAATATTCAAACCCTATGAACATGTTCATGAAAGATTTCAGGTTTCTCAGTGACTCTTGACCCGCCATCATTCTGCTGTACGTGAGCTCTTGCAGAGGTGGGTTGGCGTCAACATGTCATTGGGTTATCGTGCCAGGAGGTAAGCTTTCCTCTTGAAGCATGGCAAGGTCTGAAGTAAGAGGGGGTACTTGGGTTCTTGGTGTCTTTCTTGATTCCTTTCTTCACCCATCTGGTCCTCTCCAACCCAAAGTGGTAGTGAAGAAACTCAGAGGAGAGAGGGTTTGGAACTGGCCCTTCACAGACTCTGCACTACGAATTTCTACAAAGTTCTCTAGTGGCTCCTTCCTCTCCATGCCAGAGCTCCTCCTCCTGGCTCGGCCTGGCCACTCCATTCGTGGAAGTGGTAAAACAGAAGACTCTTGTTGAGGTGTGAGAAAAGTGAGGTAAAGAAGGACCCTTGGCGTGCTTTGGTCCTAGCCTCTAGAAAGGACTTCCTTACAAGGAAGGCTAACTCAACAATGTTCAAACTCAGCTCTGTCTCAGAACCACTTGTATTCATTTAATAAAATGCAGACTCCTAGAGCTTCTAAATAAAAAATTAAAGATGAGGATCTAGCAATAATCTCTATTTTTACGTTTTCCAGGAGACAGATATTAACAGTCCATGGAGCTGTGCTTAGACTCCATGGCTCTTTACAAGACTCTGTAACCACTACAGTTGTAAACCACAGCTTCGCGGTTTGCTAAAGCCTGTGCATTTGCTTGGCCTTGTGCCTTATTCTCTGATCATAAGCTTCCCTCAAGAGCATCAGAAACCTTACTCAAACACACAATTAATTCTGGATGATCCATCCCCCAGTAGGATCTACATTTGGGGAAATTATAAGACGTTCTTAGAGAGTGATGCTCAAGGACCTAGAATTTTGGAGGAAAAAATTCCTTCATGAAGAAAAAAACGATGACATTTCGGAGGAGGAGGAAGAGGGGACTGAGGAAGAAGGCAGTAAGGAGGAGGAAGCTGAGCTGTGCCTGCCTGCCAAGAAACAGAGGGGCAGGCCCTAGCGTGCCTTGGTTGGCCTGCCTGTGACCTGCGCCATGCACCATGCATTTCTGGACAGTGCTCAAGAAGTTGAAATGTTTCTTCTCCATTGAGGAGGAGGGCTTTGGGGGGCCTAGAGGGACTTGGACTGGTGCTAGGAGAAAAGGGAACCCGTTCTCCATGAGGCCCTGTCCCCCAGCCAACCAGGGCAGGGCTTCCCTTTTCTCCCAGGATGGAGATGGCCTATCTCCCAGGAAGGATGACCCAACTTCTGCCTAACCTCTCTCCCCCTACCTCCAATCTTCCCCTGAGGAGTGGAGGTCAGTAGGTGAAGCTCAGGTTGCACATTTTTACCCTCTCTTACATTTTTTGGATAAAAGTTGAAATAAAATGGCATGTGTGTTTTGTTGAAAAAGAAAGGCTGACAGCAGTGAAAAACTCACTGCAAGAGCCAAGAGGAGACTTCACTGGGATTTGGCATTCCAAAGCCAAGGCGTGAGGCCAGCACTAATTAATGTGATCCCAAAGCCAGCAAGCTCCCTGAGTGACAACTGGCAAATGACTGGTGATCCTTCCGAAAACAGGAAAATTGCTCAAAGTGCAATGAACTGCAGTATCTCTAAATCTCTTAGTGGCTCCAGAAATAAAAGTAATACTTAATTCCAAGTCTCCACATGGATGGTGGGGCAGGGAAGGGAGACCTCTTAAGGGCAAGAACAAGGAAAGTTATCTAAGTTGAAGAACTTGCCTTCCGGTTTCTATTTTAATGTCCAGCGTGAAAATAAACCCTCTGGCATGATTACATTTCTAATTAACTGCCAGCAATATTGATTTCTCTTACCACCGAAGATCTACTTCATTCTGAAGAATTTTAATCACCTTGGGCCAAAGGAGAAAATTCGCAAACTAAAAACCTCACCACTAAAAGTAAAATGTTCACATAAAGTAGTTTCAGCATTTTTTTCACCACAGAAGGAGGATTACAGCATTATGGATTATAGTGGAGAGATGGAATTTGTAGCAAAGGCTATATGTGAAAGAAAACAATGATTAACTTTCATAACCAACTTGGATAAATCCGTCTTTCAAGTCAGGGGGTGATGGGCAGAATTCCGTCGGAACTAAAGACAAAGAAAAACAATGCGGTTCAAGTAATCTGAAAGAAAAGAGGAAAACAACGTGTAGTTAGTGTGATTGCTTTCACAGTTTAATAACTATTTTTCACCACAGTGATTTTTTATTCCCATCTGAAGATACTCCATTGATGTGAAATTGTCATTTTCAGAATAAAGTATATCCTTATACTCTCAAGACCTAAAAAGCCAAAAGAGCCACTGTATAATATGAAAAACAGGCCAAAAGAACGAAAAATAAACAAATGTCATGGATAACATACCTACTTGTTCTCTTGATGTTTGGATAGGAAATTCCCTTAATACTAAACGGATTCTAGCTTTAAAATGAGCCATTAGAATTAGTGAGCCTGTGAGAGAGTATCAAATAACAAAGTCAGTGGTTCAAACCCAGCAGCTAGTCCAAGAGAGAAAGATGTGTCTACTCTCATGAAGATTTAAAGTCTCCAAAACCCAAAGGGGCAAATCCACTTTGTCCTGTAGGGTCGCTATGAGATGGCATTGGTTCAATGGCAGTGAATTTTTGTTTCTGGTGGGTTTTTTGTGTTTTTTTTGCATCTTCACTTAATATTTAATATATCTAGGCACCATGGTAGGTCCTCTTGTTGCATACTGAGTCCATTTTGACTCACCGTGACACTATACGAGGGTCTACCCCCAAAAAATGGGGGAAATGCTCTGCTGATGTGAGGGGATAGTGCATTTGGAGTTCATTCCACCAGGTCAGACTGTTAAGCTTTCTATTTAGAGGTTCTGAAAAGATTGTGTAACAGTGTACGACAAAAAAGACCTGATTTGTAGCAGATAGAGAACTGGTTCTGCCACCATAACAATGCACCTGCTTACACAGCCATCTCAGTGCACCAGTGTTTGGCAAAAAACAACATTCCTCTCCTGCCCCACACATCTTACACACGTGACCTCACTCTATGTGATGTTTGTTTGTTTGTTTCTTTGTTTCTTTAAGTGAAGAAAAATATGAAAGGACATCAATATGAAGATATAGAAGAGATGAATTAAAAATAAATGAGGGAGGTGCTGTCAGCCATCCAAACATGAGTTTGAAAAAGGTTTCCAAGAATGTAATCACAGATTTGAATGTGTTAAGTGTAATGGAGAATACTTTGAAGGTGATACAGTTGTTTTGTTAAAAAAATTTTAAATAGATAACTTTGAAAAAAATTCAGTTTGGGTGGGGTATTCCTTTGAAGAATAAAGTAGAACTGTCCCATTGGGTCTCCTTGGCTGTTATCTTTAATAAAGCAGATTGACAGACTTTTTCTCCCACAGAAGAAAAACCACTTGTGGATTCAAACTGCTGACCTTTCCATTAGCAGCTAAGTGTTTAACTTCTGCCCCACCAGAACTCGTTGGCAATTCTTCTATCCTATCTCAATTCATACTCACAATAACCTTAAGAATACATGGAGATAACATAAAATGGCAATAACCGATCCAGGCTTATAAACTAATAATACGAGGGAATGATTCATGTCAAGTCGCTTTGCTTCCTAAAAATCATGCTCTTTATATCTTCTCAAAGCAATAAGGAAGAACAAGGGGTCATAGAGTATCTATATATATTTTTGACAGGTAGGTGATTGATCAGGTTTGGGGCAGGAATCTTAGACCTAAGAGGAGAGTCAAAGCCCCACTGGTATCATAACCATCTCTATGGAGAGCTATAATCATGATAATGACAATGATGGCATCTACCATTAGACAATGATTGTCAAGGACTTCTGACGTCAATATGCCACCAGAATGACCTCGATGCTAGTGTTCATGTCTAAGGCAAAGTGTTAAAATTGCCTATTGATTTTGCTGTTTGTACAAAGAACATTTCCACTCTCCAAAGTACCAAAAAGAGAAAATGCTTTCAACATCTTTCATAGGTGCTCCCTTCCCTTCAGCTTTCTGTCCAGCAGGAGAAATAGATTCACCTACTCGGAGATCTCCCGTAAGTCCCTCGTCTCCCTGAAGCCCAGCGCTCTCTTCACCTTTGCCAGCTTCCGCAGACAAGAGATCTTGGCAATGGTCAGCTTCAAGAAACCAAAGACCTTGGGATAAGACATCCCACCCCACAATTCAACCCGATTTCCAAATGCCTGGCCTGTTCCTCAAACTCAAATGGCCTTCAGATTATCTAGCTTGAACGTTTTGCCAATTCCTTGATTGAGTCGTTGTAAGACAGTAGGGTTTGGCATAAAGAATGCTGATTGATGACTTAGGCTCTTTTGATAAAATGTTTGCAAAATCCTGAATATTGAGAGGTTGGTGGCAAACTCCTGGGCTTATCAGCTGAGATAGTCTCCACTTAAAGCGTCTGGTGTGTGCACAACCAAATCAGACTAACAATGATCCAAAAATCCGGAGCTCACTTCCATCGAGTTGATTCAGATTCACAGCAACCCTATAGGACTGGGAAGAACATTTCTACAGAAGGTGCAACTACCCCTTGTGGATTTCAGAGACTGTAATTCTGTATGGGAAGAGAAAGCCTGGCCTTTCTCCCAATAATACCAATAATAACAGTTTTATATATGAAAGGTAATGCTATTATTTATTGAATAATTCCTCTGTACCAGGCAGCCACTGTACTAAGGACTTAATCGCACTAAATCTTGATAACGTCCTATTATGATTTTATCTACTGTTATTATCCTCAGGTTACAAGTATGGCAAATCACTTGCCCAAGGTCATGAGGCAAATGGGTGGCAGATGTGACCAGAGGACTGCCTGCCAGAGCTGCCTTTCTCACCCTCACTGGCTCCGGAAAATCAGACGCACCAGTGCAAAGTGGCTGCAGGTGTTTCCCTTCAACCCCCAGTCATTGATAAACATGGTCATTTAACTCTCAACCATATCGTTCCCGTTTACCGTAAGGGCACCGCGGGCCAGGTAACTGCCCCGGGCTCTGGTGTCCACCTACCGGAGATGCTCTAACTCCTCGTCTTCGCATTGCCTGCTTTCTAACGTCTCTCCAACACAGGATTTCCCTCCCTGGCTGGGAGGTGGGTTATTGCATTTCCGGCTCCTGGTTTTCTTCCCTTGAACACAGGGGCTCCAAGGGGACCAGCAACTCCAACCTCCAGCAACCCCTCCTGTAAGAAAGAGAGATTTCTCAGTAAACACCAAAGAGGGGGATTCCACCTTTTACTGTAGGCTTCCTGCGAGGGGTTCTGGGAGGGAGGTGAAAGACTTCAAAGCTCTATCATCCTGTTCACTGGACTACATAGAATGGCCAGACTGTCTGTGACTTAGCATCCATATGAAGGCTGACTTAGCATCCTTCTAGCAATGATATAGCTCTTTCTTTTTTTCTTCTTTCAAATCCCTTTAGTAAACATATTATATGTTGACTCCTCACAACAATGAATCCAGGTGAGCCCGTGGTCGGTCCTCATCCCCATGTAAGAGGTGAAAACTCGGTGGCTAGTTGCAGTGCCCAAGGTTGTAATGGCTGACAAGAGGCACATCCCCATTTGTAATCCCAGTATTCCGGCTAAGCATCTCCAAGGTCTTCTCCTCACTGCAGTGTGTCCGTAAGGTGAGCTTTTATTATGAAAGCGCTGACTGAGGACGGGAAGAACCTACCCAGTTGGGCACTCCGAGGCTGCTCACCCCAGGGCTGGCACTGTACAAAGTAGATATATAAGTAGAAAACAGCCATTTTTAAATCAACCCTTTTACATTCTTTCAACGTATTTCTCCAGTCTACAAGCACTTCCTCAACTCACCCTGTCCACCTTCTGTCCTTGGGACCTATTCAAGACCCAGATTTCTAGTATTTCCCCTATCGTGTCCCCTAAGGGAAAACTGGAGCCTTTTTTTAAATGGAGCCACTTGCAACCTTCAGTGACGCTATAGGACAGAGCAGAAGGGTCCCTCAGGATCTTCACACTGTCACCTTGAGAGAAGCAGACTGCCACGCCCTTCTCCCTCAGACCAGCTGCTCAGCTCAAGCTATGCACTTACCCACCAGACCAGCAGGGCTCCTTGCTCCTGGGGTGGGTGGGAGGGAATGGGGAATTGGAACCCCCTTCGAAGAGCCTTCGTTAGAAAGTGCTCTCAGAAATTATTCTCCCAAACTGTTATGTCCCCATGGTAGATGACTGTGTTCCTGCTCCCTGACTCCCTTTACCGTGTGAAACCTTCGTTCCACATCCTCTCCTCAGGATCCCGTAACGAAGCTAAGTAACCTGCATGTTTTCCTGGGACTTTCCTTATATTACGTAATTAGAAATTAATTGGATAAAATAAGGCCCTGTATAGGGCATTTTGCTTGGTTGTTTCCAGGGGTCAATGAATTAGTCATGGTGACCACGTGTGTGCAAAACAGGCCCATGGCTGTGACATTTTGGAGACAGACTAGGCTGTCTTTCTTCTCAGGCCCCTCTGAGTGGATTCAAGCCTCCAGCCTTTCAGTTAGTAGTCGAATGATCATCGTTCCCACTACCCAAAATAGGAACAGGGTGATAATAATGGATTGGCAAGTTGTGCTTGCTGTCCCAAAATTTACTAGTTAGGGTACTTTCATTTTAACAAAGAACTGGAAATCCATATCACAAAAGGATGACTCGTGGCCAGGTCAGCTATTTGGGGAGATAGAGCACTATCTATCTCCCCAAATAGCTTATCTTGCTTATCTATAAGCAACAATTCAGCTACATATTTATTAGTCAAAATTTTATTTAGTGACTTTTATAAATCAAGGCCTATATTATGCTCTTGGAGTAAGGGAAGGCATTGGACAGCCCTGAAGTTATGATTTTCTAGTGCAGAGAAATGTATAAATAAATATAAAAACATATAGATAGGTAAATAACAGTCATATCTTGCCTACTCAGAAAGTCAGCATTACGTGGCCCTGTACTAAGTGGTTGAAGCCCAAAATACATGGTTGAGCAGAGAGAAATTGTTCAACAAACATTTATGAATGATTGATCAATTTTATGTAATGCAAAATAGAAATAAAGACGCTTCAATGAGTTTATCATCAGACAAGTGAGGCACGCAAACACAGCTCTACATACATATGACAGGATAAAACTTTAATAAGATGATTGGGGGGGGGGTATTTTAGAGATAGTTCTGTTTCACTGAAGAATAGAAAGTAGAGGCAAAATGGTTTTATTCAAACAGGAAAACAGGAGAGAGCAATAGAGGTTTGACCAGAGTAGCAGTCATACAGAAATGATAAAGGGAGAGAAATACTAAATTCAAATATCCAGTGAGATGTTCACCTCTCCATACACAAAATTTCAGGGGCCACAGAGAACAGTCGATTCCCATTCCAGGGTGTGCAGCATGATTAGACAATTCAGTACACTGACCTGGCTGGTTCTCTACGAGGACTCCTTGTTCACATGCTGCACCAAATGTGTATGGCTTGCAATGGCACTGACACTGGGTCCCCTCCACAGTGGCCATGCCACCATTTTGACAAGGCCTACAATGACAGGAGTCAAATTCATCCAAATACTCCTCCAGGGCCCGTTTCATGTAGAGTCTTTTCACAGAGGCACAAGGCACTTCCTTTACCAACTCGTATATAGGTGTCAACTAGAAAGAAAATCACATCAGAGATGATCGTCAGTGTGTGAATATTATTCCTTTTGCCGCTTAGGCTCAATCCCCATTCAAACAATGAAAATCCATCTGCATGTTAATTCCTTTTTCTGGCAGACATTTTGAAAGAGAGTAATTCACTCTCTTTTCAGCAAAATCAAAACAAACCTAGGGGAAATTTGGATCCAATAAAGGAGAAATGATTTGGATATGTATACATTTTAAAACCAACAAAGAGAGTGTTTATTTTTTCAGTTAATGAAAGATTCTTTTGAGAACAAATCATCTCCTGCTCCATAAAAAAGAGAAGAGAAAATACATCTAAAGGGGTTGGTCCCTTCTGATGACATTTCCAAATTACATAAGATGACGTCAAATCACCCTCATCTCTAAAGAGCATTCTGACTGTGTTTCATCCACCACAGGTTTGCTTGGTCACGGGCAATGCTTGACATATTCAATAGTCTTCACCAACACCATAATTCAGCAGCATCAAGTCTTCCATGTTCCGTATTCATTTTCCCTCTTTCCCATATATACCTGTCATTTGAAAACAGCAGGACACAAAGGCTTGAGTCAGGTGCATGTTGCTCTTCAAGGTGACCTCTTTGCTTTTGTAGCACATGGAAGATGTCTTGTTCAGCAGATTGGCCTTATACAATACAACATTTGACTTCTTGAGGGCTGCCTCCATGAGTGTTGGCTGTGTATCCCAGCAAAAAGACACTGACAACTTCAATCTTTTCTTCCTTTATCAAGGTGCTGCTCATTGGTCCAGTTGGGATGACTTTCATTTTAAGTTGAAGTATTATCCATACTGAAGACTACCATCTATGATCTTCGTCAGTACAGTGCTTCAAGTCCCCTTCACTTTCAGTAAATAATGTTGTATCATCTGCATATTGAAGGTTGTTAACGAGTCTTGCTCCAATCCTGAAGCCACATACTTCTTCATATAATCTAGCTGCCCCTAGGATTGATTATTTGCTTAGCATACAAATTGAGTGAGTATGGTGAAAGGATACAACCCTGACAGACACCTCCTCTGATTATAAACCATGCAGAATACGCTTGTTTGAATGACTGTCTCTGATATACTATATAAAAGTTCCACAGGAGCATAATTGTCTGGAATTCCCATTCATGTGTTACCCATATTTTGTCAGGATCCACACGATCAAAAGCCTTTGCGTAGGTAGTGAAACATAAGGAAGCACCCTTTTGGTATCCTCTGCTGCCAGCCAAGATACATGTGATAATCACATTTTTTCTGAATGCAGCTTGCATTTCTGAGAGTTCTCTATCTGCTGCGACAATTTTTTAATTAACTTGTGCAAAACTTTGCTTGTATGTGATATAAAAGATATTATTATATCATTTCTGCATTCCGTTGGAT